TCATAAAGTTGACGACCGATTGTAGGTCTGCTAACTTGTTTGCCAATTCTTTTACTTCTTCATCCCTCCGCAGGCACCTATCCTTCCATACCTGGAGGTTATCTTCGTTATAGTACTTGCTTTGGTCTGTCTTCTTCGAAGTGTCGCCCTCCTGGCCGACGTTGTTCTCTCCGTGGCCCTGGTCACGCGTTTCTGCATTGTGGTTGTCTCCTTCAATATCAAGGTCGATTGGTCTGCCACTCCCAGCAGGAGCGTCGTCCCCAATCTTTTCCTTCTGTCCGTTACTGGCCATCTATTCTTCTAAGTTCCCACAGACGGCGCCAAATTGTGTAAGTAATTTTCTGACCACACTGCCCGTTTAGTAATCAGCTAGAGAGCACCGGCAGAATAGATGGCTTCAGTTAACCTGTAACAGAAAGAAAACGCTCCGGCGGTGGCTCTTTCACCTGGGGGCACTCCGACAATCAAGTCAGTATATCTCTCAAAGATAATCAACTGCTAAACTCACTGCTCAAAGCATAAATTGCGTACCTTAGACCTACGGGGTGCCTCTTTTTTTATAGTTTTACTTAATCCTAGTCCCACTAGAAGCCTCACTTCTATGGACTCCAATTCAGTACTTACTTTGGACTCCTCAAGAGATAAAGATAAACTCCCTAAGAGCTTTATCCTCTTCTTAACTAAGTCTTCTCTTCATTCTAGGACTCTTGTCCCTTATCCGTTTATCTCGGATTCCGATATCTTCGGAGATAACCTTGGCAACGCCGAAATAACCTCAGCATAATGACCAGGACATGTGGCACCTCGGTTGACACATCGGCGTCTCCTTGCCACGTGTTGGTACTCAAAAATATATCCCCACACTTACCCACAGAGTTTAGATATAGTCTATGTATTTATTTTAGACTTATTATAGTGTTGAGTTCTTATGATCGACATATGTTTTACAATATAAATGTTATATTTTGATTTATCCATATCTTATCTTTGGTGTTTTATTTGAAGATCATCTTTTGTTTTGCACAAAGTTTTTTCTTAACTTGATATAAGTTTGTTGATGATTTCCTTACATGTGTGATTTGACGATCTTTATTTTAATAGAAATTACTGTTGATAAAAAAAAAAGAAGAAGTTTGAATGGACATACAGGCATGAGATTTCTATAATTACTCTTGTATAATTACTCGGCCTTTTAACTTTGGCAATAGGGTCTGGCTTCCCTCCAGTTCGATAGAGGGCATTGTTGGGCCTATGAGGACCCATCATGGAACTCGTTTTGATAATCTGAACCACTCAATATGTAGAACTCGTCGAGTACTATATACTTGTAAAAAATCACATTGATCGGATATTGATAGCTCATAATTGAATCTATTTTGTATAAAAAAAAATGGATGGTGAAAAAATAAACCATTGATAGAAATCTGATTCGATGGGATAGTTATCGAGATCCGATCAACATGATTTTTTATAAACATATAGTACTCGACGAGTTCTACATATTGAAATCACATTGATCGGATATTGATAGCTCATAATTGAATCTATTTTGTATAAAAAAAATGGATGGTGAAAAAATAAACCATTGATAGAAATCTGATTCGATGGGATAGTTATCGAGATCCGATCAACATGATTTTTTATAAACATATAGTACTCGACGAGTTCTACATATTGAACGGTTTGGATCAAAATGACATCCGGGATGAGCCTCTACGAATCTAATAATATATTTTAATCTGATCACGGACTGGCAGGAAGCTTAGCCGGTTGGCGATATATGCTTCTTGTGTGTTTTTTGATAGGCCCCCTTTTTGACTTTGGCAATTTATATGCCTACAAATTTTATCACAAAAAACATAATTAAATTATGTAAGAGAGGGAGATTATGGCCATACAAATTTTATCATAAAAAAAAAATCAATTAAATTATGTGAGATATGGAAGTTATGGCCATACAAATTTATTATATAAGAAAAATAGTCTTTTTAAACCACAAATCTTGTGAGAGTTCCATTATTTCAATCATATTTTCTTAATTTTCTGATTTAAAAAATAAATAAAATTTCCTGCCCTCTGATTTAAATAATATATAGCTATTAACCTAAATCCTATCACCTCCTATCACAGCAGCCTAAACTTTGAGAGAGAGAGAATAATCTAAACCCAATGCAGCACCCTAAACCTTTGGAAGAGAAAGAATGACCTAAACCTAACGCAGCAGCCTAAATCTAAACCTATCACAGCAGCCTAATCCTTGTGCAGCGGCAGCAACCTACGCAGCAGTTTGGGAAAGAGACTAAGACAAAATCTTAAAAGAAAAACATTTTAAAATCTGTAAGTAAATCATTTATTTTTTAATATGGTAGTTATATTTGTAAATTGATTAAAAATGATTGTATTCATTAGGTTCATATATGATATTAACTATTGATGATAATTGGATTGTATTTTGTGAGTGTGATTAGGCTTAATTTATTTTTCAATACGGTGATTGTATTTTTAATCTATGTTTTTTTAGATAAAAAAGAAGAAGAAAGATTGTATTCATTATGTTCACATAAAGTAAGTATTGATGATAATGATTAGATTATATTTTGTAATTGGATTTTTTAGCTCATTGTATTCATTATGCTTTTTAACTATTAATTAACTTAATTCGTGATTGGGTTTTTAACTCATTATGTTTTTTGAAAAAAAATATAATTGTATTTTTTAATTACCAATTGACTTCATTGCTTTTTTTTTAATGAGCAAAAATGTGATTGTGTTTTTTTATACTCCGTTTTGATCACACAGTGATTTTATTTTTTTAAATGATTGTGATTTTCTACATTCCATTTAATCTGTGTTTTTTGAAAAAAAAATATTTTTCATATTTTTTGAACACAATCACATGGTGATTGTATTTTTAATCTATGTTTTTTGAAAAAAAAAAATAGTGGTGCTACATGCACCAATTAGTGTACTAATATGATATTATTATTGACCCCACTCATTAATTACATTACAAATACCAAAAACCTCTTAAATTATGCCACATCATCAATTGGTACACTAGTTAATACACTAATTGGTGCATATAACATTATTCCAAAAAAAAATTAAATTGCATTCATTAGGCTCACATAAAGTATCCATTATTAATGATGATTAGATTGTATTTTGTGATTGTGATTAAACTTAATTTAATTTTTAATACGGTGATTGTATTTTGAATATATCTTTTTTGAAAAAAACAAATTGAATTATATTCATTAGGTTCACATAAAATACCCACTATTAATGATGATGATTATATTTTATTTTGTAATTGGGTTTTTTAACTCATTGTATTTTTTTTATTTTAAAAATAGTTGTGTTTTTTAACTATTAATTTATTTAATTCTTGATAGTGTTTTTTTTATTTTTTTTACTGGTTCAATAAATCTCATTGTTCAATATAAACGGACAGAGTTTATCTTGCGAAGTCAACTATCATATTTGAAGAATATGAGATCAAAGTTACAAAACTATACAATTTATTATAAATAAATTATTCCTACCTTTGCAAACACAATGTTATAATTCCAAAATTTTATAGGATAATAGAGTTAGAATGATTAAAGATTATATTGCGTCATGTCAAGATCATGCCTATGCATTTATCATATATGTACCAACAATGCAACGTCAACTAGATTATGCACCGTGCGTAAACTTTGTTTTAAATATAAATTGGTCTGAAGAATGTCTATACATTTTAAAAGGTAAAAAAATAGAAATATATAATATGTAAGTATAACATTTTTACTTTATAATATTTTATAAATATATAATATATGTGTTATTCATCAATTATAATACTAACTATCATGTTGACAATGAATGAATGCTGATGGAAGACTCACAACAATTTAGATTTTAGTTATACTTTGTTTTATTTATTCAGTAAATTTCAAACAAATGTAATAAATTCTTAAATTTATTACTTTAATTATATAATGTCAATATTTTCTTTTAAAATGACATATATTTTGTACTAATAATTTAAAAATATGTTTAACATAATCATAAATAATTTTATATGCCTGTTTTATCATAAAAAAATCGATTAAAATTATGTGTGAGAGAGATTTGTGGTACTAAAGCCTCCTGTGTTTAATCGATTTTTAATGATAAAATTTGTAATCTTTGGTGGTGTTTGTTGTGAGGAATTGAGAGGTGGGATTGGATTATTAGTTCATTTGGACTAATATTAATAATTCATTGTTTGGTTCAAAATTTTTGCACTAGACTATTAATTCCTCCAGACTATTGTCTCAAATTGATTGGACTATTGTGCCCCATGGAGGGGGGTGGGATACAAATGGAAAGATAAGGGGATATGGGATTAGGTGGTGAAATAACCATTCTGACTCTCTACTATTTAATTAGGTATTATATTTAGTAAAATTTAATAAAATTTAAATGTCTCAATTTAAAAATAAAATAATTTTCTTTAATTTTTATTTGATGTTTTATTTATTTAATTTTTTAAAATAATTTTTTATAGATATTTTATTTCAAAATTTTGTTTATATTTTATTTAAATTTTAATAGATGTTTTATTTAATTTTATTATTTAATTATTATTATTTTTTAAAATAAATTTAATTAAAATATTAATTAAAAAAATAACATATATTTTTATTAATATTTTATTTATTTAATTGTGTAAAAAATAAAATAAATTTGTATTTAATCTACTTAAAAATAATTAAAATATTAAAGATATGTTTAATATTGTTATTATTTAGTAAATAATTGAAAAGGATAAAATAGTTTCTTCATAATATTTCAAACAAACATAAGATTCATATTCTATCAAACTAATTATTTCCTAATATCTAATTTTATGATTAAATAAACATGAGATATAAATCAAATCCAACCAAATAATTCGGAACAATATATCCCAGAATCAGCCCAAACAAACACACCCTTTTAGTGGCCTTTTGACATTGGCAGTCTATATGCCGCCTCTGTTTTTTGATCGGCCATATGCTTCCTCTGTCACTCGCTCCTTTTGGTATTCCTATCGCAGACAGATGCCGTGAAAAGAAGGCTTTTAAGTTGCTGCTACCATTCTATTTGATGTCCGCTACAATTATCTGCTCTGTTTGTTGCTGTCTCGGTTTTTTGTTTTTTTTTGTTTTTACATAAATATTATTTTCACCTCTGATTTGATATGCTTGCTCATCACATTTTTTTTTTTTTTTTTTAATTTGTTAGTAAAATTGGTGTATACCACTTAAAAGGGCGTTGATCCATCGGCTCGAACCTTGATGGAACCGACTTTTTCTTCACTGCAGCGCCAATGGTTTAGCTACATGCCATCATCGTTAGCCGATCAATTTTTATTGGAAAAACACTTATTACTCCAAAAGGGTTATGTGTTTTTGCTTTATTTTTTTCTTTATGAACTAATCAGAAGTAAATGGGAATTGTTGGATTTATATTATTTTTGGATCGATACCCTTATTGTTGTTTGTTACTTCCGTGATCCGAAAAAGGAAAAGGAAAGGAAAGAAAAAGATTGGTGTCAAAAGTTAAATGAAAAGTTACATGAGATTTGGTTCAGAACTTCAGAAGGACTGGGTGGGGCGATTCATATGACAGTCGTGGAGAGGAACATTGAACGTCTGAAAGATAAAGTGGAGACGCTCGTAACTGTGAGAGATGATTTGCAACTACAAGTGGAAGAGGCCGAGAAAAATGGGGAAATTATTAACAGTGCTGTTGAGTCATGGATAAATCGCGTGACTGCGGTTACTGCAGAAACAGAGAGACTCATCCATGAGAAACAGGAATTTAAAAAAGGTTTTTTGGGACGGTCATGGGATTGGAATGGAAAGTTGTTGCTGTGGAAGAAAGCAAATGGGATTGAAGACTTTGTGGATGAGCTTCTATGTCCAGCACCTTCTTACAAAAATTTGTGTAAAAGGGCTGAGTCCAGATTCCGGGGGGTATATTTTGGTCATATGGCAGTCGTGGAGAGGGACATTGAACGTCTGAAAAATCAACTGGAGACGCTCGTAACTGTGAGAGATGATTTGCAACTACAAGTGGATGAGGCTGAGAAAAATGGGGAAATTATTAACAGTGCTGTTAAGTCATGGATAAATCGTGTGACTGCGATTACTGCAAAAGATACGACAGAGAGAATCATGGATGAGAGTGAGGAAGTTGAAAATGATTATTGGGAGAATTGGAATAGAAAGTTGTTGCTGTGGAAGAAAGCACAAGGGATTCAAGTTATTGTGGATGTGCTTCTATCTACGAGAACTTTTCACAGAGTATCACACCCTGCACCTCTCGTGGGGATGGTGTCTATAGTACCCACGGGCAGTTTTGAGTTCAATTCGCGAACGTCCACTATGAAAGAGGTGATGGAGGCACTTAGAGATGATGAGATCAACATCATTGGAATATGTGGAATGGGAGGTATTGGCAAGACAACAATGGTGAAAGATGTCGCCATTAGAACAAAAAATGAAAATCTATTTGATGAGATTGTCATGGCAGTAGTCTCTCATAGTCCAGACTTGTGGAACATTCAAGGTCAAATAGCAGACAACTTGGGATTTAGGTTGGGGGAAGAAACTTTATTTGGAAGAGCAACTCGTCTGCGTCAGAGACTAGCAAATGGTAAGAGAATCCTTCTTGTCCTCGATGATGTTTGGGAATGGCTCGATCTTCAGGCCATTGGGATTCCTTTCTGGGGTGAGAATAGGGGTTGCAAAGTTGTGTTGACGTCACGAAGCCTGGATGTATGCATAGGAATGGGATCCCAAAAGAATATTGAAGTCAAAACCTTAGCAGGGGAAGAAGCATGGCATCTTTTTAAGGAGATGGTTGGTGATTCTGTTGTTGACACTCCTGATATGCAACCAATAGCTGAACAGGTGGTAAATGAATGTGGTGGTTTACCACTTGCACTCGTTACTATTGGAAGGGCACTAAAACATAAATCGAATTCTGTTTGGACTGATACACTTCGACAATTAAGAATGCCTGGTGGCAAAAGGACATTAGGAGTGAATGCAATGGTTTACCAGGCACTAGAGCTAAGTTACAATTATTTACAGCATGAGGAGGCCAAGTCTTTGTTCTTGCTATGTTGTTTATATCCAGAAGATTGTGATATTCAGATTGAAGATTTGGTTAGATTGGGAATGGGGCTAGAACTTTTTGAAGACATCAATGGATTGGGAGAAGCAAGAGATCGTGTACGTGCATTGATTGATCAGCTAAAAAGCTGTTATTTGTTATTGGATAGTGACAAGCATAAAGATGACTGTATCAAAATGCATGATGTAGTGCGTGATGTTGGCATATCTATTGCATCTGATTCCCGTGGGACGACTGTTTTTCTGATACGACATGGTGACAATTTGAGAGGATGGCCAAAGAAACATACGTACGAAAATTACACTTCCATTTCATTGATGTCAGGGAATATCATAGAGCTACCAGAAGGGTTAAGATGTCCACGACTTAGGATGCTATTGTTAGCATGCATGAATGATTCACTAAGAATACCAAACGGTTTTTTTGATGGAATGAGAGAATTGCAAGTTTTAAATTTGGAGCTTATTTCCATTCCATTGCTGCCATCATCACTGCCATTCATGCGTAACTTGCATACGATTTGTCTTCAAGGTTGCAAGTTAGATAACATAACTCTAATTGGCGAACTATTGAATCTGGAAATCCTTAGCTTTCGTGATTCCTCGGTCGAGGTTTTACCAGAAGAAATAGGAAAACTTGCTAAATTGAGGTTGTTAGATCTAACAGGATGTCATCGTCTTGAAAGAATAACACCGGGTGTCATATCAAGCCTAGTCCAATTAGAGGAACTGTACATGATAGGCAGCTTTAGCAATTGGGAAGCTGACAAAGGAGAAAGCAAAGAAGGAAGAAGAAATGCAAGCCTGAGAGAGCTACAGTCCTTGTCCGATTTGAAAATATTAGAGGTTTATATACCCAATGCAGCGTTATTGCCAAGAAACCCTCTCTTTGCAGATCTGACAAAATACAAGATACGGATAGGTGATAATGGCTGGTGGAGCGTGTTCCCATTCCAAAAGCATTTGTTATTGAAACTTGACAAGAGTATTGCTTTACATGATGGGGTTAGTAAGCTATTGAAGTGTACTGAACTTCTAAGTTTAAGAGGGAAGGGCTCAAGGAATGTGGTGCATGAGTTTGTTCAAGATGGTGTCCAGCACTTGAAGTATTTATCAATTGAGTCTTGTGATATGCTTTTTTGTCTTGTTAATACAACGGATTTATCACTTGATTCCAGTGCTGCTATTTTCCCTATCTTGGAGTCATTAAACCTTGATGACTTGCGTAGGTTAAAAGAGATATGCTGCGGCCAACTTCCAGAAGGGTCCTTTGGGAAACTAAGAACATTGACATTACAACACTTACCTTCTTTGACGCATTTCTTGGTGGAGGATCCAGCTCAAACTACTGTCTCCCTCCATAATCTGAGATCTGTTGAGTTAGATCGCTGTAATGGCTTGCAAAATCTCTTTTCATTGTCAATGGCACGTGGGCTTGTGCAACTTCAAGAACTTCGCATATCGCATTGTGAAATGATGAAAGAAGTTATTTGGGAAGGAAGAGGAGAAGATGGGCATGCAACCAACAAGATTGAATTCCCCTGTTTAGAATACATGGCACTTATACAACTAGCAGGCCTCACTAGTTTCAGCAGAGGAATTGACCAGATTGAGTTCCCTCAACTGAAGAAATTGCACATCAAATGTCTACCAAAGGTCAAGAGTTTCTTTCCCAATGAGAGTACACAACATTCAGATGAAAACTGCAATGCTACCTTGGAATCTATTTTCCCCAAAGAGGTGTGTTTATATGTTTTTCATATTATCTATATATTTTTCAAAAACACTAAAATAATCATAAAGTTCTTAGGGGAACAAATAGCTACATCTTTGATGCATCTATCGCGTGGTTACTTGTCCCAAGCTTTTGGTTGGTCTTATTTGACATCCCACAAGTACAAGACTATAGTTTTCATTTGTCAACATCAGCCTGGGAATAAATAGCAAGTGGAATGTGTTTCACATCGCCTGGAGTTGTCCCATCTGTGCTGGTTATAAGGCTTCAGTTTCCCTCTCCTTAATACCTGGGTTTTAAGAAGAAGTGTGGGTTGAGCTTTTCAATTGAAATTATGTATAACAAAACTGGCCTTATAGATGCTAACTTGCTATACTAAGGCCAAGTTTGGCATGATTGAAAAAAGACAAAAAGTCAAAAAGTCACTATCCTATTTAAGTCACATCATCTTATTTAAGTCACATCATTTCTCTAACACATCACTTCAAACCCAACCCAAACCCAACCCATATTTCATAAAAAGTCAAAAAGTACACTTATTCAGTCTTCCCAAACTAGGCCTTAATATCTGATTTATGCTGTTAGAATTTTGGAGACCCAAAACCAAGTGGCTATAGGCACGTCAGGCCCAGGGCAGCCAGTGCCCCCCTTTCAAATTTTTGAAAATCATTGTTTTACCAGTAGATTTAGTGTCTTTCAATTTACCCCTTCTAAAATCTTATATATGCCCTTTACTTTTTCTCTTTTAATCATCAAAAGCCTTTCAAGTTGACCTCCCTCAAATGTTTATTTGTTGTACAATCCCTATACACACACATATATATTTGCTCTCAACCTCTCATTTCTCTCTGGTCTTCCTCTTCTCTTATAGATGTATGTGTGTGTGTGTGTTGTGTGGATTAAGTCACCAATTGTCCCAAAAACTTAACCTCTTAGGAAATGGGCCCAACAATGTGTATCAAATTATCCAACAATTTGTTGTACAATACCCTTGTTTTTTACACACAGAACATTTTTGGCCTTATACTTTGTTCCTCCTGGATCGATCACTGGCTATGAGTGGAGAGACCTATAAACTAAGGTTCTGTTTTGTATTTAAGGATTTGAAATGTGTGGATTTGACATTAATCATTCAAAGAGAATGGCTCAAATTTATTGTTAAATCTCTGAATTCAAAATTGAATTAAATAGCTTATCATGATGGATTTGAAATAACTATATTACAGTAAATATTTGAAATCATGGTAAGATTCTCCTCCTAGTTACAAGGATCCTACTAATCAATTCCCTAGCTAGCTGTTTAATAATTTTACAAAATTTAGCATCAATTCCCTTGATTTGAAGTCCACATCCATCCCAATGGACAGTAAATGAACTAAGGTTAAATGGCTTAGAGAGGTGATGTGAGACAAGTTTTTGATAGTCCCTTGCACATGTGGCCCAGTCGCTACAGGTGAAGGTGATATGTAGATGAAAAAGACCTGTGGCCAATACTTGGCCCACAATACCACCCAAGACTCAACTCTGATACCATGTTAGAAACTTGCAGGCATCCAACCTAATTCAATTGGCATTAGATTGAGGGGTTTTAAATTATATAAACCCAGCTTGGGTGGCTTAGAGAAACAATATGGAACAAAAGTCTATGACACTCTCCTGCCCATGCGCCTTAGTCGCATTTAGAGATGTTAAAGAGATGAATGAGATGAAAGGAATAGACCCGGGGCATAGACTTAGCCTGATAGACCACCCAAGACCCAACTTTTATACTATGTTAGAGTTTTGGAGGCATTTAACCCAAAACCAATTGACATTAGGTAGATCCTTGGAAGAGTTTTATAAACAAAGCTTGGGCGGTTTAGAGAAATGATGTGGGATAACTCTGTAACGCAAGATAGTATCATAAAAAGGGCATTTTAAAGATGAAATGTTAAAAGCTATTTAGTAGAATCTCTTTAGAATTTAAAAAGTTTAAATCTTGTGAAAGAAAATCTTAATTATATGGGTAAATTACAGTCATCTCCCCTAAGGTTTTTGACAATTACACTGCTCTTCCCTACTTTTTCTTAAATTGCACTAGCCTCCCCTGAGGTTTACTTTTGATTTACAAATTACCCTATTCCATTAACGGTTCTTTTTTCTTTTTTTGGGAAAAAGTCAGTGATTTGTTGTTAGATTAGCACATAGGAGGATTTCAATTTGGTTTGTATAATATTTGAAGTGATTATCTGTAAATTAATAAAAGAAATCAATTAATCATTTGGTAAACAAATTAGTATGAATTATTGAAGCCAAATGAGAAATATAAGAACTTGTATGTATGTAATGCAATAAATTATATATTAATACTACTCAAATAAATACATGTGGTGTCTCAGTTTGATTTTTATTAATTTAGATAGTGAGACTCATCAATTTTATCTTAGTTTTTTTAAGACAACTGAATTGTATGGTGTCAAGTATTGATTAAAAACTACCAAATAAATAACTTCTTTTATATTTAATTAATTTTTTAATTTGTTTAACCATTACTTTTGTGGTGATCAAACCCACAAATATCATAACTTGTATATGGTACACACCCTTGCGAGGGTGTGTACCATAGCATTACCCTAGATATATTTATAGTCAAATCATATGAGTGTTTAGAAATAAATTATTTAATACTACTCAAATAAATACATGTGGTAATTAAACCCATGTGGGTATTTATAAATAAATTATTTAATACTACTCAAATAAATATATGAGGGTGTGTACCATAGCATTATCCTATATATATTTATAGTCTAACCATGTGAGTATTTATAAATAAACTATTTAATACTACTCAAATAAATACATGCAATGTCCTGATTTGATTTTTACTAATTTAAATAGTGAGACTCGTCAATTTTAACTTATTTTTTTAAGACAACTAAACTGTATAACTTCTCTTAAATGTTCGTAATTAATTTTTTTAATTTGTTTCATTATCACTTTTGTCATAACAATATGTTATTCTAGAATACACACCATTTTGTGTGTATCATATACAAGTTATAACATTTGTGGTCTTAAGATTCCTAACAATTACACTTGTCTCCCCTCCTTCTGAAATTACACTAACCTCCCTTGTGGCTAACCGTCCCATTAACACCGTTGGTCACAGGGGATGTTAGTGTCATTTCAAAAAAAGTAGGGGTGACCATTGGTTAAATGGTAAAACTTTAGCCTAATAACCTTGAGGTTATGAGTTCAAGTCACAAGACAACCACTTTGTGCACTATGCTAAAAATTAGGTGTGTATTCAATCTTTCCTCTCCCAAACACACATTAATGTGTACTAATTGGGCCTTTTATTTTTAGGCACATGTAATCATCATAAACCTCTGGGGAGGTGACTGTATTTTACCCTAATTATATTTACAAAAATATGTTCATAGCATTACAATTTAGAACAGTGTGAAAATGTTTCAAAACTCCCAGTATATAGATGTACTTAATCATTTGAACACTGGGCATGAAAAAATGATTTTAAAGTAAATTATGGGATTTTCAGATAGAAGCTCAATGGTTATCATATTGTCACTGCCTTTTCTATTGTTGCCATCCTGCTGTCCAAAAAAGTATGCATAACAAAGCAACTTTCTAGTGCTAGTTCTCGTGTGATGACATCATAAGAAATAATAATGTGAAGTGGACGCAGCAGTAAATCATTGCCTAACCCAATATGTTAAATCTACAAAGAGGGGTGGAATTCATTGATGTTTGACAAATGGGGGCCGTGTTGAAATGTAATTTATGTTTGTGGAGACAACAATTAATTATTATCTCTTTGGAATATTCTGGTGTAAAAATATAGTTTTGGGCCTTCCTGGAGAACCTAGAAATCGTTGCAACTGATTGCTCAGGATCCACAAAATCCAAGCCGAGCAAATTGTATTAAAATGACAACCTTATAACCCTACGCAACTTGTCTTCAAGCTAATAGAACTTGAATGCTAATAAGACTAGATTGTCCTTTTAACTATCTCTCACTTTTTTTTCCTTTTTTTTTTTTTTTTTTGGGGGGGGGGGGGGGGGGGGGGGGGTATTGTGTGTGTTCAATTTTACCATTACATGATACTTTCAATAATCTTCTTGTTTAATACAATCTCTCTTTTTCTTTTATCCTTTTTGTTTTTTTTCAGGTTGCATTTCCTAGCTTGGAGGAATTGGAAATTGGTGGATTGCTAAATGCAAGTGACTTATGGAGCAGTGAACTTTCGACCAGGTCATTATGTAAATTAAGATTCCTCATGGTGGAAGACTGTCACAGATTGGTAAAAAATGTTGTTCCAGCTCATTTATTAGAAATGTTACCCAATCTAGAAAAAGTGGAAATATATAACTGTGATTTGGTGGAAGACGTATTCGGAATTGGAGGCCAGCACGGATTTCCCCTTGAAAACATACGAATGCTAATTGTCAGATGTTGTGACAAATTGAGAAATCTGTTCTCTCCTTCCATTGCTAGAGGTCTCGTGCATCTCCAAGAACTAATAATAGATGATTGCTCAATGATGGAAGAAGTGGTTGCGAATGAGGATGGCGAACATTCAGCAGGTGGTAGGATTTACAGTACTCTGTTCCCTCAATTGAAGCATTTGGAACTCAGAGGTCTACCTTCACTTGGGAGATTTTGCCATGTTATTCATGACTGGGAAATGCCATTTTTAGATCACATGGCTGTCCTTAACTGTCCTAAAATGCAGACTTACTCTCCTGGGTTTGTGCATGCCCCAAACCTACAGTGTGTGAAAGTGGAAGAACAAAATTGGTGGGATTCAAAAGGAAAACGAGTAGAGTGCATCTGGATAGATGATCTCAATAAGACCATACAACACCTTTTTGAGAAGGTATGTTGTTCCTACTGTTAATAAATACTTGCTACACATGATGACCACCAACCTTTCTTTTCTCTTCCATAAAGTATGTTTTTAGGTAATCTTAATCAGGAAAAGTTCAAACCATATTTTGCTGAATTAGATAATTGGCACTCGCAAGCTTTTGGCAGGAGAGAACCAAAAATGTTTTACATTTTCACAAATGAAAATGTGGCAGCTGGAAATAGTGCATTTTGCCAATAGTTTATACAATTAAAAGGTTCATCTAAAGTAAGTTTGTAAAAAAATATTTTGCATTTACAATTTACTTCCCCGTAGTTACAAGATTTTCAAATACAAAAGTTCCTTTTACTCTTGTGAAGTCTTTCCAAATGTGGGCTCACCCTCTAGGGTTCTCTCTTAATTATTTAAGGGTAAATTACACTAACACGCCCTAAAATTTGGTCCAATTACATCCCACCCCTGACATTCTGGAAATTACATTTTTACTTTTGTGGTTAATAGTCTCATTTCACTTATGAAGTACGGGTACTCCAAATGATGCCGTACGAGTACCGAGTACTTACCGGGTGTAGGTACACGTACCGGTACGGTGGTACGTGTACCGGGTACGCTGAATATATGCCGAATACAGCTAATACATTGGGATACGTCGTGGGTACAAAACTGGTATGGCGAGGTGATTTTTTTTTTTTTTTTTGGTAGCTGCTGTAATTTGTTTAAGCCGTTATTATTCTTCTTTCAATTTTGAAAATATTAAGTAATTTATTTCCAATACCCTTTACCCATGAGTTATGGTTTTGCTCTCTTTTACATCCTATTTTAGACAATCAAAAAAGAAAAATAAAGAATTATATAACTTTTTAGACAAACTGTTCTCTTTTTAGTTTTGATATTGAAATTTTGATTTGTATGTTAGATGTTTAGCTATAAATGAAAAAAAAAAATTGACGTACCCCAGTCGTACCCGTACCCATACCCTATTTTTTTAAGAATTTGTCGTATCGGCGTACCCACACCATACTTATACCCTTATCTATACCTGCACCCGTGCTTCATAGCATTTCACAAACCCCCCTGCTTATATAAAAGGTAACAACTCCTAGTAAAAAAAACAGAAGAAATTACATTAAAAAAAAATAAAATAAAACAAAGCAAAGGTAAAAGAAAAAAAAAAAAACAGAGGAAGTAAAACAAAGTAGGAAAAGAGAGAGTGCATGAGTTCAATATGTTCATTCTGTCTAAATAATTACAATGACAAGAGGGTTAGTGTAATTTCCTAAACGTCATATAAGTGATATGTATTAAATCCAAACCTCAGGAGGTGTAACTGTAATTTATCCATTATTTAACTATAGCACTTCTGTGTATTAGAATATTAAACTATAGAATCTTGACCGGCAAAAGTACTCCACAGGTGGATGCAGCAATTAGTTTTCTTTTCTTTTATTTTATTTTATTTTTTTGCTTTCTATGATGGTTGTCTTTGCATAAAATTATGCATCTACAATACAAGAGATACTAAAGGATCAAAATTGTAGAGAAACATAATTCTTTAAATTAAGAGGATCACATAATTCCCTTACCCCTGTGTTTGAATGAACGAAATTTGTGATTAAATCTTAATTCTAAAAGTGAATAAATAGTATGTAAGAAAAAAATTACTCCCTTATCATTTTTATGTTGACAATTTCATTCTAAAGATTGAGTTTGTATTTGTTTAGCTAAGTAGAGTCCTTGAGTAATTCCGTAGTTTAAGATTGAAGATGCACATTCGCATTGCATTTACATCACTTAAGTTAGTTTTATCTTGATTAATATAATGGATTATTGGTTTGTATTGGGTTCATGACTTATAGATAATCATATTTGGTTCGATACATTTGAAAAAAACTGAGCATCAGTATGTTGCTTCTTTGAAGCAGGGTTTGACCTTTCAAATGCGCACAGTTTCACTGACTGCATGGTAGCTTTGTTTTGCTGGAACGGTGCTTTGTTAACATTGGAGTTCTCTAGTAGCACTTCCACATTTGAATGTTGGGCTGGTTCATTTGAACAAACATGGTTTTGTCTTGAGCAAAAATATGTTCTTTCAATTTATTTTTCTCTACTATTAATATTTGTAAATTTTTGTTTCACTTTTTATAAAATAGTAAGTTGTAGACCATGGTAGCTGATTTCTTATTTTCATGTATGTCTATATTTCTTCTATTACTTACATTTTCACATATTGTTTATCAATCAAAACCTTATCTTCGAGCATTCCTCTTTTTGCATAGCAGCAACAAGAAGAAGAAGAAGAAGATGAGGAGTAGAAGGAGGAACAATAACAAATAGTAAGTTCTATCTGATTTTGTAGTTTCCTAAACCTTTTCTATAAGTTGCTTGTATGCAATCAATTTTTATTTTTTGGTGTTTGTTTCAGCAAGATAACAAGAGGCAAGTTCTGTCTTTTTTCTAGTTTCCTAAACCTTAGCTACAAATTGCATGCAAACACACATTTTTCTTTTTTTGTTTCAGCAAGAAATAGAGGAAGAAAAATAAGATTAAGAAGATAAGAATGATGACAATAATGATGATGGCAATGACACAACAATGGTAACATTAATGATGACAATGAGGATGAAAATTGATGGTGGTGAAGATCTGATGACAGCAGTGATGACAACACTAGATAATGTGGTTGTTCAGCTCTCTAATCATTTTTCCACGCCAGTAGAGCATTTACAATTTTTCATATAGAATCACATGGTTTTTATTTTTTCTAAGTTGATCAAATAATAAGTTTGACAGTAAACAAGTTTGTGTGCTTATATGGTTGCATTTTTGCTTAAATTGGCTCTCGAATTAAATTGGTTTTCTATGATTTGACATAACTTGAAGGTTCCTAAAATATTACTAAATTGAAAATTGGTATTTAATGATTTGGTTGTCATTAAGATGTATTTGTAATAAAAAAGGCAACCAATTAGTACATTGTATGTTTGGGAAGGAAAAGATTAGGTACACACCTAACCTTTGGCATAGTGCACAAAATGGTTGCCATGTGACTTGAACCCATAATCTCAAGGTTATTAGGCCAAAGTTTTACCATTGAACCAATGGTCACCCCTATTAAGATGTATTTGTAATAATCCATAAAAAAAATGTTTGTGAGGCCCACATGCTTAAGTTGTCGTTATGGTTAGGCCCAATTTCATATGTGTGTGTGCGTGTGTTGAACATGCATTTGCCAAACAAGGTGTAACATGTGCTAAAACATGATTATTTTGTGGATTTGTGATTAATTAAGTTTGTTCATGAAATCAGTGTAATAATCTTGGCATGTGGCTCCTTATGGGCAAGACACCTCATGCATGCTACACTTAGTCCTTGTATCGTGCAATGCATCAATACTTTGACACCTTGCCCATCTGTTACATCACATGTTCACTCTTGCTAGAAATAAAAGAATTAGTGTTCAAGTTTTTCATCTTGTCTTGCCCACTGAATTATATATATATATATATAGAGAGAGAGAGAGAGAGATTTGTGGGAAAACTCAAGAATAAATTTAGAAGAAATTCAAGAGGAAATTTGAAATATAAACCCAAGGTAAGAAATCTAATTTCTTTGTTAAATTCTTGCATTCTAATTAGTCTACTTTGGTTTTCATAACTTGAAAATATAGAAATAATGTAATAAAATCCTAAAATAGAACCCTAGGTGGTTATATCATTTTTGAGAAATCTTAAAATGAGACCTCAAGTTGCTAATTACTTGCATACTATGACTACCTTTTTATATGGTTTGAGTTTTGTCTCTCTCTCTCTCAGCACTTACTATATTTTCAAAAGTTCTCTATATGTTCATCTTAGTGGAAATCATGTTTCTTGTTTTAAATTCCGAAATTTGTTTCTTGCTATCAACACTAGGAAATGGATTTTATACTATTGTTAAACAATTGTGCTTTTACTAAATGCTTCTTTACGGCGTGTGAAGCCGCTCCAGGAATTAGACTACTCACTGATCTTATTAGCTTACTCGGTGTTTCACCATTTCAAGTAATAAGGCTTGAGCGGGGAATCATTAGCTTACCCATTGTTTCACCATTTCAGGTAAGAAGGCTTGAGGAGGTGATCATGGAGCTTCCTTGGACCCTTTTTGTATATGTCAAAAACTCTCTTTGTTCATGAAGACTTGGCTTGGCTTGGTGTCTTATTTATGCCATGGCTTGTATCATGTTTTGAGACATACTTATGGTGAATGTATGTTTGTGTGTATACCTTCTTTTGCGTATGGTGGCCACGTTGTTACCACCTAGTCATAGATCTGAATTCCACAGAGGCTGGGGTTCGGGTCGTGACAATGTATGTCTATAAAATTTTGCTCTTTTTTCTTTGGAAAAGCAGAACGGATCTGTCTTAAGTCTTTACGAATTGAACTTGTCTATGGATTGCTTTCATTATTGTTTCTTAATACATGAGGTTAAATGTTTTGTTGAAGTTGCATTTTCAATAAGCTTTTATGATAGGAGCCTATTTATTGTCTTAATATTTCCATTTTTATAATACTATGAAGAAGAATACTTCAAACATGTTTAGTTTTACCTGCAATTATCTACAAATTACAAGTGTTGGTTAAATTCAAGAGACACTAGTGAGACTTGAACCCAGATGTCTGGATTTACTGTTTATCTTAGAGTCTAATTTCTTTACTGCTAAGCTGTTGTGTCATTTCAATATAGATATATTTGTAGAGAGTGCAATGTTATATAAATAAATTTTGTCAAACGTTGTGTATAGGACAATGTGACGTGGCTTATTTGATTTATCATGACTTCAAGATAAATGATTAGCCCTCTACAGTAGTATACCTGTTATGCAAATTACTTATCTTCCAAAAGTGCTCCTTTTTTTTCCTTTTTTTTTTTGTGGGTGCAAAGAGAAAAACACAAAGAAACTATAGAAAAAGATGTACAGAGGCTCACACCCTCGCATAAACAATCCCAACCATATCTGCAACTAGCAGCGGCCTAATGGTATTAGGTGGGCAGTCCATCACTAGTAGGTGCTCAATTTGATTCTCTCCCGTATGAGCTAGAGCGTTTGTGCATCTATTGGCTTCACGAAAGAGGTGTTGTGAGTGCAATTCAGGGCGGCTTTGGGTACAAGTCAACAAAGTCATCGCTTTAGATCCCAAAAAATTAACTAAAAAAAAGGCTATAATTTTTTTTAATTATTATATTAGCCTATGAAAAAAAATCTTATTGTAATTTAAAAGGTTTCAACAAAATTCATTTATTATTTAAAGCTAATAGATGGTTGATATGATAAATTATTGGGAAATTATTTTTAGCCTCCTTGGTATTAAGATTTTATAACATAAAGAACATTTAGTATTTTCATAATGTCTAGGTCCCTCAATATCGATCTAGAGAAATTCTGGACTTCCTAAGAATTTCTCTGGGTTCAAACTAGAGAAAATTAAAATTTCTTTGAGTTCAAACTAGAGAAAATTAAACATCATAGAGAAAATTAAACAAATTTCTCTCTAAGTTTGTTTTATTGAGTGTACCAAACAAACAAACAGTATAAATACATACATATATACATATGACTTCACCAATTTTACTCTTCCATCACAATATTTCTAACCAAACAAATCCTTTCCTTTAGTATCCGTTACCAAACAAACACATATTTCAAAACCATCCATTTTGCTCTCTAACCGAACACTATCACCACCCACAACCTCCCCTATTTCATTAGCCAAACAAAATCCAATGCCATCCCCCATCCCATTGTTCCCACCTGTGCCTCCACCTTCGCTACTCCACCCTCTCTGTCCCACTCATTCTCCCATTCTGTCTATTGATTGCATCACCTAAAACCCACAACACAGTTGGTGAATCAATTATAGGATTATGGGCCTACCACCACCACCGTAGCATACAAATCCAGCAAATTCCCTTTCTGTCTATTTGGTTGACTAACATTGATTGAAATAAGGCTTTTATGTTAGGGAAGGGTTTTAGCCATGGAAGTCGTGCATTGATCACACAATTTCAATGAAATCGTGAAATCAATACACATATTAACTCTCCATTGCTTTTAAAATCATATTTTCAAAAAACGTTTTTATCTTAAAGTCATGTTTTGAAAACATGATTTCAAAAACAAACTTGGTTCGGTATATAATTTCACAACGGCTTGAGTTTGGGAAATTTGTTTCGAAATGACGTGTGTTTGGTATAAAAAAAAAACTATCTATTCAGGTTACACAGCCAGCGTGGTCTCATATTTTAAAATTTCATTAGGGCTTAGATATTCACACTCTGCAACGGATCCCCCCTAAACATACAGTATGCATATAGGCTTGAACACAGAGAGCAGGGAGGGAAGAAACAAACCAGACAGACTTCATCTCCAGTGGCATATTTCCCAGCATAATCTTTTAATAGCTTCTCAAGAGCTGCAATGTGTGTACATAGAAATCAGCTCAAATTCAACACTCAATTTTCAAAGCAACCTTAATCATATCATAGCAAACTTGATTTTTGGTCACTATTTGCCCATAAATTACCAAACTCTAATGGAAAATTTCCCAACTTAAAAGTTAAAATAGGTTAGGATTTTTTCAGAGGAATTCTACAAAAAGAAACTCCTATCGATGATGAATTTAAATCAGCAGTGATTTTTTTCCTAATGCTTAGTACAAGATCAAATTCTCACCTAACTTCATGGTAATTGAAACTTAAACCAATAGGAAGCCATGATGCACTTTCAATCCACTCCCCACATTCATGGAGATGATTACCTATTGAATATGCTAATCCTAATTATGTATGTTCAATCAGATAAATTGATGCATTCTTATTGAATGTGTTGATTAATCCTTTTAAAGCACCAGAACTTCTGTGCAAAGTCCTATACTTGATACAATACTAAGATCATTTGAATGGTTTGTAGATCCTCATGGCATAAAATATAAAGTTGCCTCAAATTTAACTTGCATTGCACATAAGTTGTCTGGCTTGAAAAAAAGGAAAAAGAAAAAAGGATAGAACATGTTTCCATTGGACTGAACCATAGGTTGTATTAAAAAAGTTCCATCTTTTCAATATTTGGCATACTAAAACAAGGTATATTAATGACATGCCCATTTTCATTTGTTGGACTCCAACACTCGTCTTTAGACACTTCTGACACGTGTCAAACACGTCCAGTTATTATTATTATGATGATTATTATTATCAACTAAAATTTAAACTCAGACACACTTTGGAAATTTGAGGGACACAAAACATTACAAATTTGAACAAAATAAATTAGAAACTAATAATTATAAAAAAAATGTAAATTTATACCCATTAATCCATTCTCATTTGAACTTTGGAAATGCGTGTTATGTTGTGTATTTTTATTAACTTTGACTGAAATATTTATATATATAACATATGATAAATATAAAAAAATTATATTTTACTCATGTCCCCACGTAATGTCCTGCATTTTTTTTGAAAACTGTTGTATCGGTGTCCATGTCCATGCTTACTAGATTATAGGGTTTTTGGTAGAGGACAAAGTGAAGATTTGAAGATTTGACGACTAATCAATTGTGCACATTTTTCTCTTTGTGAGTATTTATATTTATCTAATTTCAATCATATTAAAAAATCAAATTATAAATTTTTTTTTTTACAAATCACAAAAGGAGATAACTTCAATCAAAAGAAAAAGAACTATTAAAATAGTACACAAAAGAAGAAATTGCTAAACCAAATACAAATTACAAATTATAATTCTTTTATTTTTTTTTTGGCTAGAGCAAATACATCAAAAAAATGAGAATAACTTCAATCATACAAATCACAAATATTTTTATGTTATCTAATTACAATTATATTTTTTTCATAATAAAAAAAATAATTGTAAAAGAAGAACCATTAAAATAGTAAATAAAACGATTAAATAATTATGAGGGGGTTTTAACCAAATCTCCCAAAAGGCTGATGGGATTGAGAGAAATTAATAAATGCTGTAGTTTTTTTTTTTTAAATCAAAAAATTAGAAAATTAGGAATTGAGATATTGGAGCTCCCACAAGACTTGTGGGTTAAAAATCTCCTTTTGCTAATATAAGTATAGATAGATAGATAGATATATAGATATATAGATATAGATAGATAGATAGATATATAGATATAGATATAGATAATATAATATAGATAGATAGATGTGTTGAAATTTTCAAGGAATTTTGTTTATGCTGGTCTTTAATGTATTAAAGTTTAATTATGATGGTGTTTTGACCAAATCTCCCAAAAGGAATAAGGATTAGAAGAAATTAATAAATACTGAGGTTTTTTTTTTTTTTAAATCAAAAAATTAGAAAATTAGGATTGAGATATTGGAGCTCCCACAAAACTTGTGGGTTAAAACCCTTTTTGCTTAATATATAGTAAGTATAGATGATAGGAGCCTATTTATTGTCTTAATATTTCCATTTTTATAATACTATGAAGAAGAATACTTCAAACATGTTTAGTTTTACCTGCAATTATCTACAAATTACAAGTGTTGGTTAAATTCAAGAGACACTAGTGAGACTTGAACCCAGATGTCTGGATTTACTGTTTATCTCAGAGTCTAATTTCTTTACTGCTAAGCTGTTGTGTCATTTCAATATAGATATATTTGTAGAGAGTGCAATGTTATATAAATAAATTTTGTCAGACATTGTGTATAGGACAATGTGACGTGGCTTATTTGATTTATCATGACTTCAAGATAAATGATTAGCCCTCTACAGTAGTATACCTGTTATGCAAATTACTTATCTTCCAAAAGTGCTCCTTTTTTTTCCTTTTTTTTTTTGTGGGTGCAAAGAGAAAAACACAAAGAAACTATAGAAAAAGATGTACAGAGGCTCACACCCTCGCATAAACAATCCCAACCATATCTGCAACTAGCAGCGGCCTAATGGTATTAGGTGGGCAGTCCATCACTAGTAGGTGCTCAATTTGATTCTCTCTCATATGAGCTAGAGCGGTTGTGCATCTATTGGCCTCACGAAAGACGTGTTGTGAGTGCAATTCAGGGCGGTTTTGGGTACAAGTCAATAAAGTCATCGCTTTAGATCGCAAAAAATTAACTAAAAAAAAGGCCATAATTTTTTTTTAATTATTATATTAGCCTATAAAAAAAATCTCATTGTAATTTAAAAGGTTTCAACAAAATTCATTTATTATTTAAAGCTAATAGATGGTTGATATGATAAATTATTGAGAAATTATTTTTAGGGTCCTTGGTATTAAGATTTTATAACATAAAGAACATTTATTTTCATAATGTCTAGGTCCCTCAATATCGATCTAGAGAAATTCTTTCCAGAGAAATTCTGGACTTCCTAAGAATTTCTCTGGGTTCAAACTAGAGAAAATTAAAATTTCTTTAAGTTCAAACTAGAGAAAATTAAAC